CAAAGAGATCCATAGTAATGGTTCAGACTTTCATATTTTATATAAAACTAATTCTTTATTTATTACGTATTTTTTAATGTTCTTCCAGACCAAAACTCGAACATGAAGCAGGGTGTTGAAGCTGTTCCTAAAACTTTTGTCGCTAACGAGCAGGTTGATGGAAGGACGGTAACTCTCTGTTTTAGTCTTCAATTGTTATTTCATTAACCTTTCTTATCTAGCATGAAGGCTTTTACAAGGAAATGGTTATGTTCCTTCCTATCACTTGTAAGATCTGATATTTTTGATGTGTAGGTCAATGTGGTTGAGGGACTGAAGTTATATGAATCACTATTGGATGACAAAGAAGTCAAGAAACTCGTTTCATTGGCAATTGATTTAAGGGCAGCAGGAAGAAGAGGACAATCTCCAGGCAAGCTTATATGAAAATTTAGCATCATTTAATTGTACAAGCATCTGTGTGTTGTCACTATTATCTCTTAAAATAGAGTGCTATTTCTATTCTTAAAATCTGAACCAGTGCTATTTACTAGGATGGTTCTTTTGCATACACCAAACCTATTGGACGATTTTCCTATTAGAGAGTATTTAGTTATGACAACTAAGTTAGTTGAAGTACTTATGTGTGGGACTATCAACTCTCAACAAGGTTATCTCACTATGAAAGTTATTTCTACTGCAGATTTTATCCAGTTAATAGTTGATGCTAGACTAGGGTTGGAGTACGTAAGAAAAGATTGTGTGAGGCAAATGAAGCTTCTGTTGCTACTGCCTTGTATTCTTCATTATGTTTCTAGTCATCTTGCTATGGCTGTGCATTTTTTGATTATTTTCTTTTTCTCTCTCTGCATCTGTACATTTCTGATAGACTAGTATTTTCTTTAATAAAAGCCCACATTATTTATTATAAAAAGTTTACGAGAAAACACCACACTATAATGATGGTTGTTTGTGTTTAGGATTCCCAATGCATTTCTGTCTGATTTGAGGAAAACTCAAGTGGATTTCTATTATGGTTTTCTTTTTGGTTTAAATTTCCCTTTAAATGGTTTCTCAAGTGAGTCATTCATCAATTCTATTTAAATCATTATGAAATATGTCAACGATGAGACCTATCAACAAAATCCAACTTCTTGCAGTTTACTTCCCTTAATTATTGCACTTCCAAATCCTAAGTTAACAAGGGAAATTACTTTAGATATTTCGAGACTTTGCAGTAGCATTATTGTCAACATGTTTGTTAATATTTGTGAGAACAACGACAGCAACAAATCAAGCTCTTTCCCACTAAATGGGATCATCTTTAGTGAGAAGAATATTGTTTCAAAATGGAAAGATCTGTACAAGTTACCTTTAGTCACCACTTTGTATAAAATTGTTAGGTATGAATATGTTAGATACTTGTGACTCGATTGGTGAAATAGCCATTTTTGACCCGACCCAAACCCTACTTGACTTGACCCACCTGTTTGATTGGTCTACTCATGGATAATCAGATTAATGAAATATCGTGTTTTTGGCTTCATAGTTTGAGCTCTGAAAAATTTATTTGTTCAAGGTTTGGAGTTAAAACGAAACCTGGAATGGTAAGAACAACTGATTGCAACTTGAAGAGAGATGTCGGGTCTCTTGATTTACTTTAAAAATAAAATTATTTGAATTAGTACTGAAGTGGGAAAATTGATGTGTGGCAATGCTGCAGATTTGGTTGTTTTCAGAGACTGTAGAATAAGCAAATACTTGTGCTTTATTTGCTTTGGACATTTTTGTTCAGGGCAGGTCTTCATTAATGAAGGATGTCGATTTTCATCTTCCTCAAAGGGCCAGGAATTGACTTCTACAGTCATCTTTCTTTAGAATATGAATAGGGAAAGAAACTAAAAATTCTGTACTTGTTTCGTTAATGAGATTCAGGCTTTGACTTTTCCCAGTGATTGCCTTCCTTCTGTAATCAATGTATTTCCTGATTTAACAATGAGATGCTTAGTGAAAATATTGATTGTAGTTGTTTTCTGCCATGCAATATGGGAAATGGAAGTCAGGGTTCCTTCAAGTTTTGTCATTTCTGTTGACTTAGCTTTCAGGAGGAAGAGGTTTTGATTTCTTCAAAATGATATCGGAGATTCTTTTTCGCATTTAAATACATGTGTAGGCAAGCTTCTTATAATTGCAAATCTCTTTTTCGATAAGAAGCAGGTCATACTTATGTAGCCTCAAAGAGACCCATGAAGGGACATGGCAGAGAGATGATTCAACTAGGCGTGCCAGTTGCTGATGCACCTGTTGAAGTAGAGAATGTCGGAATATCTAGAGGCATATCTACTTATCTGAAGATCTTATCCAATTATTGAGGATTTTATTTCTCAAAAAAATAAGATGTATCATTTGGCTTCTTTGTGTTCAATCTTTGCAGACAGAACTATACCTGCCTTACTGCAAGATGTTATTGAACGTGTAGTTGGCATGCAGATCATGACAGTGAAGCCAGATTCTTGCATCATTGATTTCTTCAATGAGGTTATTATCGGTTCCTTTTTTTTTTTGAACAAGTGGTCACGTTATGAAAAATTTGTCTTATATTTGCTTCATGCAGGGTGACCATTCACAGCCTCACTCTTGGCCTCAATGGTATGGGCGTCCAGTTGGTGTTCTGTTTTTAACAGAATGTGACATGACATTTGGGAGAGTCATTGAAATAAACCAACCAGGGGACTTCAAAGGCGCTCACAAGCTGTCTCTTGCACCTGGGTAACCATTTGATGCTCTCTCTCTCTCTCTCTCTCTCCACATGTAGAAAAGAAATTTTCATTGGCTTCAGTGTAGGAATGTGTTGGGATTTAAATCACGTTTGAGCTGCTATGTGTGGTTGGAAGGGGCTGATTAGCATCGAAGTCATTAAGATGGATCATGTTTATTATTTATCACATCATGCCAGTTCTTGTTGCTCATCATTTTGCTCTAGACAAAGATAATGCTTAATGGTATCTGAAAAATTGAAAATCTTCTGAAAATTTACTGTAGGTCACTCCTTGTGATGCAAGGAAAATCGTCAGATTTTGCTAGGCATGCAATTCCGTCCCTTCGCAAACAACGGATACTCATCACCTTCACAAAATGTCAGCCAAAGAAATCCACACCCGGCGAAAATCGCTTTTCGCCACCGACCATAGTTCAACCTTCTCATTGGGTCCCGTCATCCCAACGATCTTTCAACAATGTTCCTCATCCTGCAGGGTCGAAGCAATTCGCATCCGCTGCAACGGCTAATGTGTTGCCACCTCCCATTCATCCACCAATACCGGCACCAAACGGTATCCAGCCCCTCCTATTGCCACAACCTGTTGTGCCGGCCATACCTTTCCAAGCCTCGGTACCAATCGCAGCTGCTTCAGCCGGGTGGACAGCGGCTCCTCCACGCCATCCACCACCTCATCCCCCAGTTCCCGGAACTGGTGTCTTCCTTCCTCCTCCTGGCTGCGGTAATCCGTCCTCTCCCGGACACTTATCTACTAATGCTACTGCAATTAACCTTATTCCAGAGAGCCGAGAAAATGGTATGGGGAAACTTGAACATAGCCCAAGCGCTTCCCCGAATGGAAAATCAGACGTGCAAATAGGAAGACAAGAAGTCAATGGCCAAAGGGATATGGCCAATGAAGAAAAAAATGAAGGAGATGATAAAAGGCTGTCGAGCAAGCCAAGTAGAGCAGCTTAGAAGAGGGAACGTGAGAGTAGTAGGCTGCGAGGAGATTTGAGTTTGACGCAAATGTAAAGAGCGGCGAAATTTGAGCGGGTAGACACGTCACACGTCGTGGGAGTACAAGGGAAGGAGGATGAGGAACTTCTTGGTTCTCTTTAATTTTACTTCTCAGGTGCTCCTTTCTCTTTTTGTTGTGCTATTATACAACTCCTAGGAAATGTATGGGACTGCATTACAAACTCATAAACATTGAGTTAAAGAAAATTGATTTTGCCCAGATGAAGTGCTGGCATTATCGCTGTGAGTTTGATTTTGCTCGGATGTGGTGCCATGCGAACTCGACCAAGATGGTGTCCTAGGTGGTCTTCAGTTGCTTGCTTGAATTTTTAGGATTGGATCGCAAGTGAAATACCCTGAGGCTCTCATTTATCGGATTTGGGGACTCAAGGATGACGCTTGATCGAATATAACGTATCCTGTCCTATCACAGGTAATGCATAACCTGCCTTTGATCTTGTCGCGAACCAGTTACTATTGGCTGCAGATAAGCTCTCTCTCGGCGCGAATTGCCCTCTTGAGCCATGCATAAGAAAACACACAAACACACATCCTTCTCTTATCGGGGCTCTCGCTCTCTCATTTTGTTCAATTGCATCCCGTTCACGACAGCACGAATCCTCTGCAGTGTCACCTGACCTGTTTTATAGTTCACCCTACAGCCGAAATTCATTCGGGTAAATCACATGTACTTTACCTAGTTCAAGCTAAAATATATAGAGCTCGCATAATATTTCTACATGAACTCTTTCACTAGCAGGCAAAGTTTAGACCCATGATCTTGGGACTCATATGCAAAACTTAAAAACCTTTATTCCAGCATTGTTCAGGTCTTACATGTGCTCTTCACCAAAAGCACAGTTGCCCATAGTGGCATCTACCTTGTAATTTTAAGCGCTATTGGAGAGCTATATTAAAATTCTCCTGTACTCTCAAGGCCAAACAACGGTACAACTCATGCATATCACACCTCCCAGTCCATGCAAATTTCTGCACTAACATTAGTGATCAAGTTCTGCCCCTTTCTTTGGTTGAAAGGTAAAATCTGAAAACTAAATGTGATAACATACTTGCATCAGCTGAAGAAATTTCCTCACACTGAAGAACCATAAGATTTTTTTTTGCCCCTTTTGAGGTAATGGTGGCATGAATTCAACTGAGATTGTAAGAACTTTGATCGCTGTGCCGAAAGAAAATATTGCCCAACATTCAACCTGATTTCACAACTGACAAACCACCTGTCTGAATACTAAATGCAGAACTATATTAGCCTCGGTCTCATGTCTTTCAAACACAGTCATCATCATCACTTACGGTTCACCAAAATTGATATGTCAACCTGTGACTTTGAAGGGGAAGGAAAAGAGTAATGCGTTTGAGATTCATAAGTTACAAGAACACACAGGCAGAGCTTCTAAAAACTGGCATCAGGACATGGGATGCCACTGCCTGACCCACTCTGTCAAGGAAGCTACATTCCTGTCTATGTCGGCCACGGTGTCACTCTTCAATGCCAAAACGATGTCTTGAGGGTAGCTTTCTTTTGCCTCCTCCAACAGTACTTGGAATATTTCACATTCTATATTGTTTGAGAGCTTCGACCCAGCGTAACCTCTGACATATGAGAAAGACATTCCATGATAAAGTTATGCAGAGATATCAGACGAGCGAGACTTTAGGTCAAAGAAAGTAAATCAGGTGAGCATTACCTCTTACTCAAGCGATCATAGAGGATAGAGTTGTCAGTTTGAAGCACGGCGACGAGATCAAACCATCGCTCGGGGAAGAAGTCACACCCATGGTAATCCACAATGTTCCCACCTTGTTCCATCACATCCTCGAGCTCATCACATACCTAACATCAATATTACGAAATGAGCCTCCCATAACAACTACAACTCTGACAAGTCATTTACTGCAGTATATCACTAAGATGTGCGAAGAGACCAATCAAGCAAGGATATGGCGACATAGAAGAAGTAACATTCTATAGAAGACAGGCAACTTTAAGAAGGTTTCACTACAAGATCATCTGCACTCGACTGTAAATTAAATCCTCATCTCAATATTCACGACAGGGCTATAGAGTTCATTACTTAACCCCCAATCCAATACCTTCTCTCCTAACTTCCATCTCAATTCTTCTTCAGGAAAAGAGACTACCATCTTAATTCATGGGGATAGCAGTAACCAAAACCAGATACAACAGCAATCGTATTCCCGTCTAAAGCGACTGTGCCGACAAAATTCAGTTAGCTCTCACTGTAAATGCTGAACCCTGTTGCGCTACTCATGACCACTTCAGCATAGCCAACATCCCGAAATTATTTGAACAGAACCATGCACTGGGAGGCTCATCGATTATATAGTTAGTGGGTCATCATCAAGAACCGTATCCCCACAAACAATGACAGAATCCTTAAAGAGAGAGTTATGGGCCGGGGCGGCGACACACACACCCCAGAAACACTTCGCAGCTCACCGTTGAAGAGCCGCATAACCGATCGCCACGAAAAGATTCAAAATTTACGTTCCTTTCGACTCCTATAAGAAGGATTGACATTCATGGATCCTCTAATCGAAGGTCCTCAATTCATAATTCCATTGCAACCTTAATCAACTGAAATCCCCCTGTTCTACGCCCTCCGTCAGGTTTGTCTTTGTTCAAGAGAAAGAAATCAGATGAAACCCAGCTCAGAACACAATCGATTAAGAAATTCGCAGCTGCTCCGCACAGAATCAAACTCGAATTAACCGGCGGGTTACCCCGAACCAAGCAAACCCGTCGGCGCAAACACACAGCACAGAGCAAAGCGGAACGGCGGCCCAAAGAGGAAATCCCTAAGGGTTTCGCCGCTCCCCACTCACCAGGTCCTCGTTGATGACGTGGCACTCGAGCTCGTCGTCCCAGCCGTCGTGCAGGCCCTTGTCCCGGACCAGGTCGCCGACGCTGACGTGGCGGAGCTGGGTGGCGTCGGCGAGCGCGGTGGCCGTCGTCGTCTTCCCCGTTCCGGGGGTGCCGGTGAGGAGGAGGTTGGGCCTCTTCCGCGCGCGATCCTTCGCCATGTCTCTCCACCACCTTCGCCTTTTCTTCTCTAGCGACTGCAATTGAGAGAGAGAGTGAGTGAGAGAGAGAGAGAGAGAGAGAGAGTTTTGTAGCTCAAAAATTCAGTTGCCACTAAACCCAGCCCATCAGAGTTCAAGTAACCCCTCTTCTCGTCTCCAAAATACAAACGCTTTCAAAATGCAATCAAGTCCTATAACTTGTCACAAAATTATCATCAAATTCTAAAATTTATAACGAAAGTGCAATCGAGTCCTAAAACTTTTAGAAAGTGCAATCAACGGAAGTACTAGATTGGACCAATTTGACAAGTTTTAAGACTCAATTACACTTTGTGACAAATTTTCGGATGTAATTTCACTTTTTGAAAGTTTTTAGGACTTAATTACACTTTCGCGACAAGTTTTTGGACTTCTAGTGCACTTACTATTTTTTTTTTTTGGCTAGGCAATTGCTATTTCGTTACCAAGGGTCCGTTTTTTCAAAGAAAAACTATTTTTGAAAAATTATTTCCCGGTCTTTCGGTATTTGGGTGACAGAAAACTAATATATTTATGGAACGTTTTTCTATGGACTGAGTACAACAAGATTAGATTGGAAGAAGACGATTTCCCCTTTTGGTAAAAAGGAAATCACTTTATTTAAATCATAAAACAAATGAAAACTATATATTTTTTATAAAAATGATTTTCTTGAAAAATATTTTCTATATTACGAAGTTTTCAGTGAAAAAAAGTATTGAAAGATTGATTTCCAATTGCTCACCAAACCTGTCCCCAATTCGTCTCGGATTTTAATATATTATCCTAACTTTGTATCATTGAAGTAGTTGGGTTCCCGTCCAATACCTATAACCCGCCATAATTGTTATAGATAATGAATTTTTTTTTTGCTAGGCAACCATATTAGGGATAACGACATAAATAATCTTTGAATTTTCGCTCAATGCATAATATGGTCCCCGAAATTTTAATTTGTTTAATATGGTCCCTGAACTATAGCCACATGTGCAATTTGGACCCTGAACTTTTGATTTGTTCAATGTGATTCATGAACTTTTGGTACATGTTCAACAATGTTCAATGTTGTCCCTGAACTTGAATTGGTGGGATGACAACCTTAAATATTTTCATATAGTTCAAGAACTAAGTTAAACATGTATCAAAAGTTCAAAAACCACATTGAACAAATTAGATAGAGATCATATTACACATTGAGTTAAAATTCAAGGACCACATTGAGCAAATTAAAAAGATTAAGTCTGGATTCACGAAATCTTCTATTAACCATATAAAGGGTTACTATAATAAAAAACTTCAGATTGATACTCTTGTGCTATATTTACCTTAAACTCATTTTTGGTTGGTAATTGCTTACGGATATCAAACGTCCTAAGTGGCACGGTTGAAGCTAACGTTATAATCATTAGTAATCTAAAGGCCCATGTTTGAATATGTCAAATAGATAAGCAATCACCAAGGAGATACGTATGGTCACGTTTCTCGTAAAAAAGCTGTCGTCAATGTTATAACATCAGATGCTATTGATGTGTAGTTTTCCATTTAATGTCATTTTTGACTACGTTAATGGAAGAGACATTTGAGTGAAGTATACTGATGGTTCATGTACTATATTGGAAAATTCTACTCTTTGCCCTTGTACTTTTTCTAATTATTGTGCTTTTAATTTACCCAATTAAATCCTTCTATTTTCAAAAATTTTATAATCAAGGCTCTTGACATTGAATCCAACCGAATTCAATAGACATGACGGTCGGATGACATCAGAGTATGATGTGGATAAAATATGATGATTCTCATATTAACGTGTGAGGAACAGTTTAGCCACTGTAAACAATGTTGGAGTATGATGTATATAACATCTAGCCGATATGGACAACCACGTGGGCGTCCACAATAAAAAAAAATTTGCTCACGTCACAGTATGACGTCAACCAATAGCCATGTTAGTTGGATTTGGTCGGATTCTATGTTGGAGGGCTTTTGTGAAACTAGAAGGACTGAATTGGACATATTAAAAAAATAGAGGTAAAATTTGAAGACTGTGTTTAGAAAAATATGTGAAAATAAAGGGATGAAAAGTAGAATTTTTCTTATTATAACCTCAAAGTCTCAATTGAATTGGCACGAAGAACAGCATAATCAAACTAATAAATTTTGATTTATTTAGGTGCAACAAGATATGATAAGTGAGTAAAGTTCGTTAAAAACATAACGAATAGCATGAGATGTAAACCTACTCTAAGCTGATCTATAACTTTCATCCGTATATAATAAACCTTTAGGGACAAATTTCTTTGTTGGCATTCTAACCCTACAATTAAGGTGAATTGTAGCACGAGCTGTACTTTCTACTTAAATTAGCTGAATTATAGTATGCCGGCATCTTACTTTCATAATTACAGGAATCAAATCATAAATAACAATACCATAAGATACGACTCATTCATACATTTACTGGCTGGCCAAAAAAATACGTCTGTATTGTTTAATGCCTAGCTCTCAGTTTTTTACTGCTTTGGAATTGTTTCTATATGAAGAATAATTGCTTTGGTACTCTAAAAGACAACAACAACCCTATCTTTTTCAATGATCGCATAGTTCTCAATGTACTAGTACCTATAACGAATAAGATCCTTCACAAATTAAATCGCAAATAATATTAGATTATATTCTTATTGACCTATCTAAGAATACAATATTAATCATCACGTAAGTGAAATTCACAAAACTTTCGTTTGTGGGCACTTTTGTCGCGCGCTTGATCCTAGAAGCTTGACCTCCCCTACTCTCCTCAATTTAATCAATCTGTAGACACAAAGTACCAAACACCTTTTACATCTTTTAGAAAAATATTATAGCTAAAGAAACTGTTAAAATTCCAAATAGAGATAACTACATTTGTGTCTGCAATAAGATCATAACGATTCTTTTACTTTATGTTTGCTAAAATAGATGTAGAGTTTTCTTTTGCCAATAATTAGTAATTTTAGCACTGCATGCAATCTCTTGTATAAATTAGTTGCTAAATGCTTTTAGAGAGCATTCTCTCCATCCTTTCTTCTTACTATCTCTATCTTATCCGGGATCCATATCAAATAATACATGTGAGACAAATGAGTTTGATCTATGTTAGAAATCCTTCTAATTGACTAAGATGGTACTTATATGGTAGAACAGAGATTAACAATTTACGGCTTTTAAGCTGCATATAGCGACCCCTAGATTAAGTACATGCCTTTGAGCATTTTATTGGCACCTCGAATAATGACATTGAACATTGATCATCAAATTGCTGCGTCCGCACTTTCGATCAAGCAAAAATCATCAATATTCTATGGTTCAATACGTCGATTTTCCTTATATGTCAGGTTATGACCAAAGGATGTGCATTGTCACATTAGTGGATAATACAATTCCTACCTAACCTACCATTTATCATATTTCTCGGTATGGGAATGTCTTCAATGCGAAATATGCAGGTGTATCTACCAATAATGAGAATGGCCAATTCATTGCCTATTTAAACAGCTCTCACCTTTTGATGCTCCACAATCCAATATTTCTGTCCTCTCGAGCCACAATCTCTCCTATACGACCATCTCCGTCAACGGACGATGAAGTTGTTCCCTCGGCCTCTATAGTCTTTTCCTCAAAGAAACCAATTGATGCATCCAGATTGCTATTCCTTCTTGCATCCAAAGATTATTGTCCATCATACGAAAAACACTCCTAATATCACTAGGAGATGTATCATTACGCACTCCAATCATGAAAAGTCGGATCAGCGATTTACCAGACAAGTCACTTGCATCTTCATCTTCATCTTAGGTATGAATCGCCAAAAGTATCTTTTTAGCTTGACTATTTTTGTCTTAATCCGATAGATATCACTCCCACGCGCGTTTTGGATGATTGATCTAACTTTCCGGCACTCACTTACTGCAGCAATCGGTGGCTGCCTTGCCGATAGACCTCAAGAGCTTGCTCGAGGGCTCTACTGCAGGGAAGAAGTTTCAACGGTGATCCTAGGGGATTTCACTTGGACACGCCGTCGGACCCATCGTATTTGGTGGATGAAGAGATAGGAAGAGAACGGAAGACGTCGTATTTGGTAGATGAAGAGATTGGAAGAGAACGGAAGATGTCGAGACTAGCTTGGCTGCCCATCTGTCGCGACCATCCACCTTGGCTCCTTACCACCCCCACAGCCAATTTCCATCCCAAGTCATGTTGGATATTTCGGTAGTTTTGAAATAATAAAAGGTATTAATTTTGTAACGGGTTTTGTTCGCCATTAATATGAAATGGTTTTGTAACATTTTATAACGGCCATATAGTGGTCATCTATTAGTTATCAATAAATTTATAACGGTCTTTTTAACGGCTCTTTTCGTTTGACTATAAAACTTCAAACCACAACTCTAGAAGGAACTGAATTAAAAAAGAAGAAGAAGAGAATTCCTTTCCTTCTACTTTTCTTTCTTGCTGGGTTATACAAATAAGTTGTTCATGTTTCTTTTAATAATAATTGGGAAATATAGAAGAATTTCTGTTATATCTTGGGACGATAGCCGCTAGAGCTTATCGCACCGGGTTTCCTATTTCGAGGGCGAAATTATCCTTAAGGGCAATGCCTGCATGCCTTATACAGTTAATTTTATATTCTCATCTTTTTCAAAAGATTTTCAATAATTTTTTTTTTCATAATATCTAATATGTTTCCCAACAAGTCACCATCCATTGATGGCAGTGAACTTTGGACGGGTTCTGTGTTGTCTCACCAATTTGCAAAGCAAACTTCATCTTCGGTGGATAGATAAAGGAAGAGAAATTAGGGCCTGCTTTAGGGTGACTACTTCCATTTTCAAGTATCACATGTAAAATCGTATAAGAGCTCGTTGGAGGGAGTGAGTTTCCATTAAATTTTTCGTCGTGAAGAAATAAATGTTTGTTACACAAGACATCCATCGATTATCTCGATTTATGTGTAGATCTCTAATATAGTTAGCTCTTAATTTTTTTCAGGGTCGCTAAT